TTGAGTGAAGATTTAAGGTGATAAGACATATAAATAACTGCAACTTGAATCTGTATTGAGGCTCAGTATTTGACACATGTTCACTGCTGTAATAGCTAATAATGATTAATATAATAACTATAATATCCTCCTGAGACCCAGGGAAAAAAAAGTATTTTGATTTTGATTTTTTTAATATAAATCAAGTATTGGCTTGGTAAAAAACACATTGCAAAAAGAATTTTGTTTTTAACAGATTTTATTTAAATTTTACAACATGTGCACTCCAGTGCACAAGGGGAGTTCATTGATGTGAAACTAACAAAATTCAAGAGCTGATTAAGAAAATTAAATGCTGCACTGAAATCTTTGTAACCAGGATTTTAAAACATATTTACATAAAAACATCACAAAACAGTAGATCATGGGTCAACTTAGAAATCACTGACATTTCACTGGCTGTAGGCCATTCGTCTAGGAACAACTGATTGCACTGTTTTTTATTTATTTATTTCACAAACGTCCATTCATTTATGATATCTAAGAAAGCACTGTGATTTTTTGGATACACAGAGGAACATTTGGCACTTCACACATCTCACATATGTTTTACTGTTGCACCCAAGCATTCTGCACCTGAAAGGCCTTGGACTGTTAACCATTTCAGGCAAGTGGAGTGCACCATATTTTCTTACACTCTCATCTGGTTGGGGCTTCCTTTTCTTGATTTCTGGAGAGAACTCTTCATCACTGGTGTTATTCAGGTCTTGTTCCCATGTTTGTCCCTTGTTTATCAGTTCTTCGGCCAAGAGGAGCTTGAACTCCAGGTACTGTGTATTCTTTTCAGCTTGTTGCATGGCCTCGCTGTCTTGTCGATATTGAAGCCATGAGTTGGTGATGGCCAGATCAATGAAATGAAGTATGGTGCGAACAGTCCACTTCTTGGTCCGGCTAGATATTCTGTAGAAGCTGAGCATGCGATCACATAGGTCAACCCCTCCCATGTTGATATTATATTCTGCAACCACTGCAGGTCTTGGGACTTGGATTTGTCTCTGTTCTTTCTTTGACCATCTGGAACAGGTATCCTGGGGCTCAATTCCATGAGCCGTTGATGCCATGACAACAGGCTTGTTGTCCATCCACTTGGTGACTGCTATTTCATCAGGCCTCCGTACAATCATTTCTGACGAACCTCTTGGTTTTGAGCTCAGGATGTTGTCAGCAGTGAAGTGGCACTCTTTTGGGATTCGATTCTTTTGAATTGTTCCTGTACCTAGAAGGCCCCTTTCTTTAAGAGCATCCAGAAGACTGATGGTGGTAAAATACCGGTCAAAGTACACTAGTGATCCTCTAGGAAGTGTCTCTGTTAAACGCAGGACTGCATTTCCACTTATTCCCATCTGTTGGACTTGAGTGAAGGTGTTCTTTCCCATGTAGGTTTCAAAATCAAGCACTAAACCACCTGGACTTGCAAGAACAAACACTTTTAATCCTGTTGGATTTGGCTTCCCAGGTACAAACTGACGAACTGGACAACGGCCAGTGAATGGAACGATCTGTTCATCAATACAGACCTTTGTTGGCCTGGGCAGATTGAGGCAACCTTGGAGGACCCTTTTTAGAACTGGTCTGACTTTCCACAGGGGATCCTTTTTCTTTTCGCTTTCTGGCACACTGAGATCGTCAACCACTTTCAGCGAGGACCTGATCTTGTAGAAACGATCACGTGTCATGGAATCAGCTATAATTGCGACTCTTGTTTTGGCAGCCCAGTACATTCTAATTCTCGGATATCCAAGGCATGCCATGTACACAGAGATTCCTAAAAAGGTATTGATCTCCTCTGGTGCTGTGTTTAAACTACACCCTGAATCCCGTACCATACGCTGGTTGGTGAAGAAGGACAAGTCCTGAATTAGTTTTTTATCAATGTACTGCTGGAAATACTGCTGTGGGCTCCAATCATTACGTGTCATTAGTGTGCCATCATTTCGAATTCTGCATTCTTCCAACACAGGCATGAACCTAAGATAAAGAAAAATTACTTAGCAAAACAAAAGTCAGAAAAATTATTTATACTCAAATATCCGATATAGTTCACTTAAAACACTTTTACACTATCTTTACAAGTTAAATTAATTTACTGTAAAACATTTCTGTATGTTACTGGTACTTTTGTACTCAAAATCAAAAATTCCAGATTCTCCTACATGTTGGTTTTGGACCAGATAGGACGACGGCAGATTTCAGCTGGCCCTGTGTCTTTCTCCATTACATCTGGCCCTGCATCTTGGTCATCTTCGTCTGATCCCTCATCTGGGTTCTCACCCTCTCCTGTCTGGCTCACATGACTCTCATCTTCTGAAAGATCTATGTCTGAATCTCCCTCAATGATTCTGTAAAGAATTCTCTCTGCCTCTGTCAAAGAGCTGTCTACTAGAAAAATGTGAAATAAAAATAAGTACAAAGTCCTGACGTGCACTAGAGTACACATTAATAAATTAGTCATTTGCTCTGTGAAATTAAATAAGCTTAGTTCTGAAAACTTCCTAAAATTACTTACTAGATGTTTATTTTTGAAAATTTATCAAAATATGAGTTGCAAAAACACTTTAAATGTAAATATCATGCTTACCTTTCCTTCTTCCATAAAACGTGCTTGTAGGGATGCCAGCCATTTTGAAAAGGAGGGAAAAAGATAGTTGGCAAGGCCACACCCCCACACATGTGACATCATTTTAAAGGTACACTTGTCCTCTCTAAGAAACAACAGGACTTAGCAGAGTGGCATGTAGAGTATGAGAGATACAAGCAAAAACTAAATGTGTACTACAGTGCACAAAAATGAACTGCTGGGTCTCAGGAGGATATTGGCCATATTATATTAACATTACCAAAGTGATATGACTTTAGTCTCATGAACAACATTAGCTAATTGTTATTTACTAACTAATCTTAAATGACTGTTCAGTACAGAAATGAAGCCCAAAAATCATGTTTTACTGTCATGTGGTCTCAGCCTCAGATACTTATCAAATCACACAAAGCTCTTGTAGAAACAAACAAACAAATGAACAAAATATGTTCTCCTTCATTTCTGTCAAACAAAGTTGTATGACACGTTTAGTATCATGGTTGCTAGGCAACCTGGGAAGCGCGACGGAGACTAGACCGTCCCATACAGCCCATGTGTTTGCAACAAACTTGCTGTTTATTTTGCAAATCGAGCTCAACACTGCCCCTAGCATCCTGGAGCACTTCCGTTGTGTTTTGGATTTTGCAAGTGTTTTGGAGTTTGCAAGTGTTTTGGATTTTGCAAGTGTTTTGGAGTTTGCAAGTGTTTTGGATTTTGCAAGTGTTTTGGAGTTTGCAAGTGTTTTGGAGTTTGTACGTGTTTTGGAGTTTGCATGTGTTTTGGAGTTTCCAAGTGTTTTGGAGTTTGCAAGTGTTTTGGAGTTTGTACGTGCTTTGTCTCTAGGGGCCAGTGAGTTTCCTGTTTTATTCTGAAGGTCTCTGTCTCATGTGAGTGTGTTCAGTTTACGTTTCCCCTGTCCCGTCAGCCCTGATTTCTCCCAGGTGTGTTGCCCTCCTGTCTCTCATGCCCTGATCACTGCTGTGTGTATTTAAGCCCTGTGTGTTCTCCTGCCTGTTGCTGGTTCGTCTGTGTTCCACGGTGTCCTGTCCCTTGTCCGTGTCTCTCTGCCTCTCCCCCATTCTGGTACCCTCTCAGGTTTGTCATTTAGCTTTTAGGTCTTTAGTTTTGTCTTCCCTCTGTGCCTGTTTTGCCATCTCCCCACTGTGTAAATAAACATCACTAGCATTATCAGCTACTGCCTGCGTTTTGGGTCCTTTCTCCCTTCTACACCACATGGCTCGCCTCGGCAGCCGTGACACTAGGGGCCACCATAGATTAGAATATACTGGACATTCAATGCTAAGATTCAGCGCACTGTGTTAGTGGCTGAGATTTGATGAATTCATCATATATACAACCTTTGATCATCATTTATGTCCAGTTGAGAATGAATCTGTGCACTCACATATTAAATGAACTGAAATCAGTAGTGTGATCTCCAGTTTTGATATAAGGAATGAGAGAATGAGACAGCTGTTATTTTAATCAGCCTGTCTTAGTTTTTTTAACTCTAAGTATCATAAAGTAATCTGGTAACATCTGGGCTGACGAGTTTACTGTCAGCATTTTAATCGCTAGTTTAAAGGCTGTAGGTCGCAGCTCTAATGCTCTAACACTGTATAAATGTAATAGGGCTCAGTGCTAATAGTCTGAGCTGCTTCAAGCTTTATTTGTGAAGAGCACAGCAGCGTACAAAAAAGCTAGCATTAGCCATGTTAGCACGTTACCTTCAACAGGTGGTCAGACTGAGTAAACAGGTACTCAGTCAGAGGTTGGGCTCTCCGTTTCGCTGCAGGGTCCCTTCATTCTTCACATATCCGTGTCGAGCCGAGTGTAAATCCCGAGGCTGAACGGCCTTTGTACAAGCACACACGCCTCTTAGCAGGGCAAAGCTATGAGCTAGAAAAATCCAGGCTGGCAGCCTGTGTCTGTCCAACCAATCAGAGAGCTCCTTACATCTCAATTGGCCTAATTTGTATTGCAGCAAGATCTTTAAAATGAAGTTGCTAATCCAGATGGTAATGCAAATGTTAATCTCTGAGCTAATCCGTGAGCGAACAGGAAAGGGAAATGGATTTTGAAATGAGGAGTGGAATTTAAAAAGCATTTTGAAAATAAGTTTTTTAAATTGGAATTCGGAAAAGGTTTTTGAAATGAATTTTTTTAAAGAACATTTAAAAAATCAGTTTCCTAATGTGGAATTCAAAAATGAATTTGCAAATGCAGAATTTATTCTACAATTTATTATTTAAGCAAAGAATTCTTTTTTTTGATACGTGTGGTTTTTGTGGTCTTCCATAAATTTCACAATAAATAAACTACTCTATAATCCAAACTGGGAATTTAGGTCATTGTAGGGTGGAGAATTTCACAGATTACCCACAATTCCTCTTGTCTGTAACCCAGCGGATTGTCCACCCTGTAGCTCACCCCCAGTGTGATGACCATGAAACACGCTGGCATTCCTAACAGGACACAACAAATCAAAACAGCAGTTGAAGTAAAATGAAATTTAACCTGAGTAGCGAAAGACCGCGGTGATCTGAAAATGATGTGCCGGGGGTTTGCGGTTGTATCTGTGTATCACTGGAAAATGTTTCGTTTCACTTCAGTTTTTATTTTAATTTTGTTTTAAACTAAAAGAAATGATAAGAAGCTCAAGATTTTAGCACAGTGCTGTGTATCTGCATTCCTTAATGTTATGACTTTTTTCCTTCTAATTATACTACTTTAAAGTTCTTCTAAAATATTTCAAATTTGGCATTTTTGTTTTCTTTCTGAATGTCCTACCCCATCCCAGAGTCACACTTAGTGGAGTCCAGTGTGTTGGCAGGCTGCGGCGCATTGACCGGACCAGCAGCACCAGTTGAGTGCTGTATACACTGTTCCACATGAAGGTGGCCATCAGGAGGAAGTGCAGCAGAGCTGCTACAGCCGTACACGAGCCGCGGTCTGGTTCTATGTGTTCATCAGAGTTCAGGATGTTGTTGGTTCGATCATCACCCTGCACCTTAGTGTCGTTCTGTCTGGTAGAGTTTTGGACTCCAGAGAGGAAGGTGATGATGAAGGCCAGCAGGCTGAGGTAGATGCACAGCAGAGCCAGCTTTGAATTCAAGTTACTTGGCTGCCCATGAGACTTCCTGAAGAAGCTACAGAGAGAAAAATAACAAAGAAGTTTTAATATCTTTTAAGTTTTGGTATTTCTTAAAGAAAAACCAAAACACCACAAATATATATATATATATATATATATATATATAAGAGACAGACAGCAATTTTACTATTTTTAGACTTTATAGGTCAAATAAAATAATCAAAACATTAATGTAAATTGAAAATAACTATTTGTTGCATCCAAGAAAGTTTCAGTTTGTGAAATGACAACTAGAAGTGTTTGGTAAATGTGATGAGAGAATTTTAATGCAGCATAATTAAACATCACTTCTAATCTGTGAAGTAACCCAAACTTACTTTTCTTTAATGTGATAAATGATCGTCACAACCAGACCCAGAATAGAAAGAGAAAGTCCCACGTTGGAGCTCACATCCAGAGCTTTCGCATACTCGTAGTTCTCTCTGTATGACTGAAAAACAGGATTCAGATTTAAACTCATAAAATATCTGTGATGAGTTAGATTTACATTTTGAGCTATGTCATGACCAATGTTTAACAAGCTGTTGTTGAGGATTTTTTGTATCATATATATGACATATATATCTGTATACACTGGACATATACTCACATATATACTATGTAATCATATGTAATCATATATACTAATATACACTCATATACACTATATATATATATATATATATATATATACTGGAGTATTTTATATAATGGAATCACTGTGCATCTAACCTACATGTTCGAGATCACAAGACCCACATATTTAAGTCAAATATTATCTCTAATTATATTAATGGAGTTTGTGCCACTTGTTGTATGAACACATGTTGTTCAATACTGCTTGAAAATCTAGTAATTAGGATCAGTAAGTAAGCTTTGATTGTGTTATGGCCAATGGTGACTAGTCCAAACATAGGGTTAATTAAACTTGGCACTGCTAAAGCATGCACCTGGGACCCCTTTTCTCTGTGCTCATCTTTTTTGCCCCACGTTGTGTCCAGCCCTTTCATTACCTATATGGTAAACAAACCTGGCCCCGGTGGGCATGCACCTGGGATTCTGTTTCTCGCATCAGCCACCAGAAGGTGAGAAAAACCCTTTCTTAGCATAGATACCAGTTTACTTCTGACAAGTGCACCCGACAAAATTGTCAAATTGATTAACTGTTAGCTGCCGTTTTGCAAACTTTTGGAATCACTTTGGCCATAAAACCAATGAAGGGACACATTTCAAAATGATGGATGTAAGACTTGTGCTTGAAAAGTTATGGGGTAGGGTCAGAAAGGTATGTAACATAAGTGTAAGATTAAAAGAAAGGAGCAAGGTGCAAGTATGATTAACAATGGATTGGAGAAAAGTATCAATAATTGAGATAATATTGACATTTGTAGAGTTGATTGGAAATTCCTGCTCCTCCTCCTGCTGTTGGGTGGAAATTTACCCAACAACAGGAGGAGCAGTCACTGATCCTTTGTAAGAGGAGGGTCGATATGCCCCAGACTGCTGCTTTTTTCCTTTTTGTCATTTTGTGTGTTGTTGCTGTTTGTGCTTTAAGACCCTACATCCCAGGGTTTGCTTTGCTCGCTTTCCATGTGTTATTTTGCTGTAAATGTACTGTTCTGCTCTTCATATGACACTGTTTAATAAACTCTGTTCCAAGAATTCTAGTCTTTTCCAGAGGGTCTTTCTGAGTGTTTTGGTTTTAATTGGATCTGAAGGTTATAATATAGGCTTCAAAATTTGCGACCCAACACTGTAACCTCATCTATTGCCCTAAAAAGTTGTGACCCTCACCCAGAGAGCAGCAAAGTTGGTGGTGTGGTTACAGAAACATCTCATGAGTCCATCTGAAGTGTTTCCTTTAGAGCAGCCACTGGTGCTCCAGTCCTTCTGACTGTAGTTCCAGAAAACACAAGAGAAGTCGTACAGAGACATCCCACTGATGTTCTGAAACAGAAATACACAACCTTACTCGGAAATCCACAACTCTGATTTACATGTAAACATAAAATATTGCTTTCAAAAGCAGATGGTATGTTTCATATTTTTAGATTTTATACCACATATGCAGTTCTTTGAAAATAACACAGAACTATTTTAATAAATAATAATAATAATAATTAATAAAAACACAACTGGTTATAAGTAAGGTATGAATATTTTACTTTGTGATGTGTATATTGGTATTGTTCTATTTTTACACCATTATCACAGCTGCTACAGCTACTGCAAGTTTATTAATTTATCTGTGTCATAAAAAACACCATAAACACTGCTCACTATCTGTGTGCCCTAAACCTGCAGATAAAGGTCAAACATAATTATAGATACATTTTCAGGTGAGATCACAAGTTATTGAAGGAAAAGCTGTCCAGTGGTCACCATTATCTGAAATCTTGAAGATAAAACTGACTTAAAAGAGGTCAACAAATATTAAAATTGACTTTAATTTGAAATGCTGGATTTCTTACTCTTGGGCTGAACATCATCTCCACATGTTGTGGCACCATGTTGGGTTCCTGCCCACTGACGCTGGCTGACAGGACCCTGATGGTGGCCCGTCGCCTCATGTAGAGTTTTGAATGGAAGAAACGATCGTTCTGATAGAGAACGAAACCCAGAGAGACGTTTGAGTCTGTCTGACGACTTCTGACACCTTTGCCTGACATAAGAGAAAGAAATCCACTGCAGTTGGTAAACTTTTGTGTGGGTGTCACAAGAACTGACAATGTCTGAAATAGAAGTGCTCCATTTTTATTAATAACAAACTAAAACATCTCTCTTAAATACCTCTTAGTGACACCTTAAGCATCTTATCGTTCTGTTGTTCCCAAGAATGCCAGTTTGTGTAAGCCTAGAAAACTCACCTTGAGGGAATCGTACATAAATGAGGGCATCAGCTATGAAACCGTTTTCCACCACAACCTGTGTTGCGTTTGTGTTCAGCTGAATTCTCTCAGCTACAAAACTGCCAGATGTCCCTGTAGCAGCAAAAGAAATGAGCTGTTTGTGATCACATAATAAAAAATGCAGAACCTTACCACTGGATCTTTAATCTTAAAGCTACAAATATTGAAATTGTTCCACTACATCATGATATTCTGAGAGGAGACCTGCGGGTGCCTGTCCATGCAAGAACCTGGACAACTGTGGGGGGAACACAAACAGTTCTGTTGACTGTCCCCACTTCAACACAGTTTTACAGTTTAAAGATTCCCTAAAACCACAATATTTCTTGACTTGACGCACACCGGTGAATCTAATATCTATCTGAACAGATACGCCTTGAATGTTAAAAGTTTTATTAGCGTATTTTTATTAGTGTCAAATTTAATCAAATTTGACCCAAACTTTATGTAAGGGATGAAAAGCAGCAAAATGGGGGGAAAAAAATAAAAAATTGGAGGATTACTTTTCTTTAACACCGTTTCTCACTGACCTCTGAGAGAAGTGAACTGGACTCCCTGAGTGTGTGCAGCAGAAATCTGTGCCGACTGGACCACCAGGTTTGGCTGAACCACCTGAGATTGAGATGCATTGAGACTGAGGCTGAGGTTCACTGAGAGCTGGTCCAGAGTCACCGTCAGCCTGGACATAACAAAAAAAAAGCAATCACAAAACAGGCTGTCTTACACTCACTGGTTTGTTAGATACATTTACAAAATTGCTCATTAATGAAAGTATCTAATTAGCGAATCACATGGCAGTGACTCAGTACATGCATGCATATAGTCATAGTCAAGATGACCATCTTGAATTTAAAACTTAACATCAGAATGGGGACAGGTTGGGACTTTGAATGTAGTTTTTTAGTGTCAAATGCGCTGGTCTGAGTATTTTGGAAACTGATGATCTGCTGGGATATTTGCTTAAAACAGGTGTTCTCTTTAAATGTCGAACTTTACAGAAAACAGCCTGAAAAAGGGTTTATGGGTGTGCAACCAAAAAATCTCTAGCAATTGTGCAATGCTATCATGACAATATGGACCAAAATTTGAGGAACATTTCCAGCACATTGTTGAATCTATGCAGTTCTGAAGTTAAAAGAGCATCAGTCCAACCTGCAACAAACAATGTGTATTTAATGAAGTACCTAGTGAGTATAGTTGCTTTGAACCAGGAAAAGCGGCTAATTTAAGCTAAACACAATCGAAGACGTCATATGAGTTAATAGATTAATATTTTATTCTTAGTACTTCACCCCAGAGTTGTGTTGTTTTCCTCTGTGTCATCTGATACAGTGGTGTGCAGCAGCTGACTGACCGTTGCTACTGCTGCCACTCTGACACTCTGGAACACAAACATGAACCAGGATGCTACAGTCAGTAACTACTGATGCTACAGCAGGGTATAAAATAAAGAGTGAATAATTAATGTATTAATGTTTGCATTCATTAAATGATCTCTTAAATGATGACCAAACCCTTGTTAACACTGATTTAAATCTTTGTTTCTTTTTTTTCTTAAGTTTTGTTGAATGTTTGTACCTCTGTGGCGTTTGCAGACAGCAGCAGTGTGTTGGCGATCTCAGCCGCTGCTGTAACATTTTCGGCCGTCAGCTCTTCTGGGTTGGATGTCAGAATCTGAGTGCTGGTTGCCAGCATCTCTAAATCAGCTGGACTGGTCAGCTGAGTGGAAGAAATACATTTTTTCTTCTTTTTTTTTGTGGTCCTTAAATGAATGTGTAATCCTGTGCATGTCTTGCTGCGTTTTTACATTACATAAAATACTCAGTTCAAGCTGCAACTGTATAAGACCATCAAGTAATAAGTCTTCAGAAGAATAAAAACAGTTCTTACATTTTGTTGTATATCACTGAGTGTCAGGTTACACTGGAAGATATATAGAGTGTTGAAACCTGGTGATTCGCTCATGAACAAGCATCTGGTTGAAGCCTGAGGTTTTCCAGCTGAGTGGGGATGTTGATAGAAAGAGAAACATCACTACATTGGGCTGTACCTGACAAAGTGATGTTGGACTGAAGGGATGACTTACCGCCACTTGTTCCCACTTCACATATTTCATCAGAATATGCAAACCAACCAATGGGTGTACGGGGGAACCTGAATCCTTCAAATCGTTGGGCTGCACAGAAATTTACTAAGAAGACAAAGGTATTAAAATATAGGCAGTAAAAACATATAATTAGTTATTTATATAAAAATACAAAAGTGGAAAAAAATCGATGAACCATGGTCAGAGAAAGAATTTGAGTTTCAGTGATTATTTACAATCTGAATGCTGTTGACTGTTGACCAATCACATTTGAGCGGACTCCAATGGCATGTTCTTTTAAAATCGCATTTGCATAACTATCTCTTATTGTTTTGTTTTTTTATAACTGAGACAGGATTTTTGTAGTTTAAAAGCTGGATCACACAATAAAGTAAAGACCCGAAGATCCTAAGTTTGGACATGTAATGACTGCTCACAGTGTTGGTTAGTTATTTATTCCAGTTAACAATCTGGTTGTGGTTTCCTACATCTTTATATCACAGAAAAAAAGTAATTCATGTAAACTTTAATGAAACAACAAATATAAAAGTAAATTACTGACACAAAGCATCAGCTTGCGGCTAACAGCATCACATAGTTGCTGTTTTCTGCTAATCTAAAAAGTGAAAAAAAAATTCTTACCTTCTGAGCATGTCTCTCCAGTCCATTCATCAGGACAGAGGCAGACACCGTTTAAGATTTCCCCTCCATTATCACATTTCAGGGCAGTGGTGGTAGGTGGGGTAACTGAAGTTGGAGATGTAGTACTAGTAGAAGTAGAAGGTGTAGTGTAAGTTTTAGATGTAGTAATAGGAATTGTTGGGGAAGTAGTAAAGTTTTGTGTAGTAGTAGTAACATTTGGTGCAGTAGTAATGTTTTGTGTAGTTGCAGTAATTTTTTGTGTAGTAGTAACAGTAGTGCTTGGAGTACTAGTAATGTTTGGTGTAGTACTAGTAATGCTTGGTGTAGTAGTAATGTTTTGTGTAGTATTTGTAATGCTTGGTACAGTAGTAATGTTTTGTGTAGTATTTGTAATGCTTGGTACAGTAGTAATGTTTTGTGTAGTAGTAGCAGTAGCACTTGGTGCAGTAGTAATGTTTTGTGTGGCAGTAGTAATGTTTTGTGTAGCAGTAGTGATGCTTGGTGCAGTAGTAATGTTTTGTGTGGCAGTAGTAATGTTTTGTGTAGCAGTAGTGATGCTTGGTGCAGTAGTAATGTTTTGTGTAGTAGGAGCAGTAGTGCTTGGAGTACTAGTAATGCTTGGTGTAGTAGTAATGTTTTGTGTAGTAGTAGCAGGAGCACTTGGTGCAGTAGTAATGTTTTGTGTAGTACTAGTAATGTTTTGTGT